CTTCAACATGATCTACCGCGTGGCGGATAAGAACAACGACTGGCTTGATCGCCGGTGTATGCGCCGCTTCAGGCATTTTCTTTGTGCGGTGGCGGTCGAGGAGCTACACCTCAACGGGCGCCTGTTCACGTGGACTAACGAGTGCCTGCACCCAACGCTCAAGCGCATTGACCGTGCTTTCGCTTCGGTGGATTGGTTGGAACTGTACCCGAACCACCACATGCGTGCGCTCTCGTCGGACTGCTCGAACCATGCACCCCTACTGCTACGCATGGATGCCATTCCCTGGGCATGCAAGCGCTTCCGTTTCGAGTCCTTCTGGACAAAGCTGCCTGGGTTCCTCGACGTCGTCGCCTCAGCATGGGAACCGACCTTGCTTCATGCAGACGCGTTCCGTATCATGGACTACAAACTCAGGAACGTCGCTCGCGCGCTAAAAAGTTGGAGTATGCACAATATCGGGAGCGTCTGGCTACAGCTTGCCATTGCTCGCAAGGTCATCTTGCGTTTGGACTGCACACAAAACTGGTGACCACTATAGACTGAGGAGAGTGCGCTGAGAAAGGACATGAAATGCAAATGCCTTGGCCTCGTGTCCCTCAAAAGAACAATCGCCAGGCAGCACTCTAGGTTGATGTTCCTAGCCGAAGGGGACGCCAACACGAGGTTCTTCCATCTTCAGGCTTGCCACCGCAGTCGAAAGAACCACATCGCCTCGCTCAGGGTCCAGGGGAACGACCTTGTCCTCAATGAGCAGATGGCGGACGCATTGTATGACCACTACAGCGCCCTGCTCGGCACTCCATTCCATCGACCGGCCACTGTGAATTTCGACAGCGTGGGTCTTGCCCAGCACGATTTATCCATGCTAGACATCTGCTTCTCCGAGTTCGAGATATGGGCGACCATCTCGGAGTTGCCGTCGGACAAAGCTCCAGGGCCGGATGGCTTCACCGGGCTGTTCTACAAAGTTGCCTGGCCGATCATCAAACAGGACGTTGTCAACGCTTTCAATGCGTTCTGGTCACTGGACGGGCGTAGCTTCAATTTAATCAATGATGCCTTCATGATTCTCCTAATAAAGAAGAATGAAGCCTAGGAGATCAGTGACTACCGCCCGATCAGCCTTATGCACAGCTTTGGAAAGCTTATTGCCAAATGTCTTGCCCGTCGGCTTGCTCTGGTGCATCCCAGTCAGAGCGCGTTCATCCAGGGACGGTCCATACATGATAATTTCAGAGCCGTTCAACTGACCTGCAAGACCTTGCACCAGAAGAAGCAGAGTTGCCTCCTTCTTAAGATCGATATTGCGAAAGCCTTCGATTCCGTCTGTTGGCCTTTCCTTTTGGAGGTCCTACAACGGCTCGGCTTCAGTCGGCGGTGGAGAAACTGGATGTCTATCCTCCTTGGTCCGGCGAGCACCAAAGTCCTCCTCAACGGCAGACCGGGCAACCGCATCTGCCATGCTAGAGGCTTGCGGCAAGGTGACCCCTTGTCCCCGATGTTGTTCGTCCTAGCTATGGAGGTGCTTGGCGGACTCATCCGGTGGGCTGAGTCCCAGTCCATCTTCTCACCTCTCCGGTGCGCCGCGGTGCATTCAAGGGTGTCGCTATACGTGGACGACGTCGTCATGTTCATTAAGCCAGAGATGAACGACATCGTCGCCATCAAAACCATCCTGCAGATCTTCGGCGATGCGTCGGGTTTGTACACTAACTTGGGCAAGTGTGTCGCCAACCCGATTGCCTGTTCACAGGAGGAGCTTCGGCTGGTTGCAAACATGTTGTCCTACACAATCGGAGCCTTTCCGTGCAAATACTTGGGCATCCCTATCTCTACTCGCAGGTTGCGCCGGACCGAGGAACAATTCCTCATTGACACCGTCACGGCGCGTATTCCGCTCTAGAAGGGTCAGCTCATGAACACTGCGGGCAAGGTGGCGTTGACACAGGCGATGCTCTTGGCCATCCAAGTGCACCTCTCCATTGCCGTGTGCCTATCGCCATGGGCGGTTGACCGCATCGATAAGCTACGTTGATCGTTCATCTAGTCTGGGTCGGCCACAGTGGGCGCGGGCATGTGTCGCGTTGCGTGGGAGGTGGTTTGCAGGAGCTCGGTGGTCTCGGCATCATCGACCTGCGAAGGTTCGGTCTAGCTCTAAGACTGCGTTGGGAGTGGGTGCGGAAGGTTGACCCGAACGGAACTTGGATAGACCTTCCATCATCATCAGACAAAGCCACGCGTGCCCTCTTTCGTGCAGCAACCAGGATGGTCGTCGGGGACGGGACCTCAACGCTGTTCTGGCAAGACTCATGGATTCATGGGTGCTGTGTTGAACAAATTGCGCCTGCGGTGTTTGCCTCAGTCCCACGGGCGAAGGCGAGGTCAAGGTCTGTGGTGTCGGGTCTGGCTGATCACGCCTGGGTGTTCAACATTACTGGGGTACAAACTGTTCAGGTCTTCCTCCAGTACATGGACCTCTGGGAGCGGGTTCGCGGTGTCCAGCTTGTGACGGGGGTTACGGACTCCGTCATCTGGCGTTGGTCCGCTGACCACAAGTACTCCGCGGCGGCGGCGTATGGTGCGATGTTCATCGGATCGACCTCGCCATTCGGTGCTAAGTTGATTTGGGGGACGCGCGCACCGCCCAAGGTCAGGTTCTTCTTCTGGTTGGCTCTGCATCGTCATTGCTGGACCGCTAATCGGCGGATGCGTCATGGGCTGCAGGACAGTGACGCTTGCATCATGTGTCTTCAAGCCTCCGAAACTCTGGATCATATCCTGCTGGGTTGTGTCCTCAGCCATCAGGTCTGGATAATGCTCCTATCCAAGCTTGGGTTCACAGCCATGGCCGCTCATGGTGACGTCGACCCCTTCCTCTGGTGGGCCTGGGCTAGGCATAGGGTGCCCCGAAGCAGCAGGAAGGGCTTTGATTCGCTCATGCTAACCTGCTGGGTGCTTTGGAAGGAACGTAACGCACGGACGTTCAGGAATGAAGCCAAGGATGCTCGAGAGCTGTGTGTGGAGATCCAACAGGAGGCCGCCTTGTGGTTGCGGGCCGGGTATTCGACCCTGTTGTCGCTCGCTTCGTTCATGTAATTAGTCTCTTGTGTGCTCGCTGTCGGCTACCTCTGGTTTTTCTTTTGCCGCTCTGTTTTATGTTTGTGCTGCTCGACGGGGCAACCTTTGGTTACCTTACGTCGACGCTGCCGTTGTTTGTTTGGATGTTCTCTTTTTCCTCTTAATAAAATATATGCTACAGTGCACGTTCGAGAAAAAAATATATCATGGTCCCATGCACTGATACCACGCTGGGAGAAACGGATGCCACTACCTCCCAATCGGACGGCTCTCGGTGCACGACATCCTGCTCCCCACATCGCTTGGCAAGGGTGTAAGGCTACACTGTACACAGCTGACCAGGTTGGAGGCTGGCAGTGACCAGCTGGAGAGCTGGAAACGCAAGGCAAGTGCAACTAATGATTGCCTGTATTCCTTCCTCCTCCTTGGCCACTGCTGTTTTCACATTTCGTATTTTTTAAACAGTCCATCAGCCTTGTGAGTGCGATGAACTCCTTCCACCCACACCCACTGCTGATCATCAACCACCCTACGCCATCGTATTCAATTCCTTTCACATGCTTCGTACCCGTACGTACTCCCGGGACGGGACGACGGACAAGAGCACGAGTTCTTTTAGGCCGGCCGGACAGTGCCAATGTGCCATGCCATGCCAATGATGGGCACTGCCCAACGACATCGCCCCTGTGATCTTTAGAAGATCGCTGTTGCTCGATCGCCTTGTGGTTCATGCACGTCAGGCCACACCTCCCCTCCTGGAAGCTACCCGTTCCAGCCACTATTATGGGCAGGTGCAGCAGGTCCGCAGCACGTTTCGCTTAGTCGTATTTGGCTTCTAAGTTATGACTTATCAGCCAACAAACAGTGTTTTTCTCTCACACCAAACCAGCCAACGGTACTTTCAGTCATGGCTTATAAGCCAAACCAGCCCAGACGAACTAGGCGCCGGTTGGTGTGCTGCCGCCGCGGCGTCGGCCGGCCGTCCGGGCCCACCACCGTTTCCAACCTTCCAATCCCATGTCAGCGAGAGGAGGACATGGACACCGAGCGCGTCGGAAGTTTCGGAGCGCCTCCGGGTCGCGGTCGTGGCGATCCGCATCCGCTGGCGCGAGCACGTTCAGGTTCACGATCGACGTGATGTGTTGGGCCAGTGCTGTGCTGGGGGGTGGATCGATGCATGGAGGTGGTGGCGTTCGGTGATCGTTTGGAGCCTAGCATCTACGCCGAACAGAAAAGCATTTAGGCTGCCGCAGAGGTTTTGTTAGGGGGATGATTGGTATGGTTCGTGCACCGCAGGGAGACGGATGGCAAATGGCGCCAAAAGACGTAGGGGGACAAGAGTAGCCTTGTCGACGACGCTCGCTGCGGCGGCGCCGGGGAACTCGGAAAAGGGAAAACGAGGTCCGCCGGTCAGGCTGACGACCGATAGCGTGATTAGGTTTAGTCTTTTTACAGAGTTGTTGTTGGTTGATCCCCTTGGCTTGTCCTCATCTGTCCTTATGTAGCTGGTTCCCTCCACTGGTGACAGCCTGGCATGGCCCACCTGGCAGGCAGTACCTGACATTCCCCCCTCCTTGAATTGCGGCTTGCCCTCAAGCCGCAGCATTGATCTTCGGAGAGCTTGCATCGAATGCCATGGTGTGGTCCAGCAGCGTAGCGAGGTCGAGCAGGTGGCGATGGATGGCAAGGCTAATCATCTTCACCTCCGTGCTGAACTGGGGCTCGCAGGTGTTTGATCGCCGGTTTGACTGGTCCAAGCGGGCGCCGCCAGGAACGGGCATGGACGGCCACCCGTCGACAGGGTCGTCGCCGGTCACGAACGCGAAGCCCTCCTCGATGATGAACGTCGCGTCGGGAAGCCATGTCTCCAGCCACTCGGCGACGGCCGTGTAGTCTGCGAAGCTCGCATGCACCACCTTCTAGGGCTCGTGGCAGAAGGACCGCCCATTCTCGCCGCCGTTGTAGTTGTCGTCGCCCCTGTGGAGCACCTCCTCCTCCCAGAACGCACCGCCAGGGACGTTGCCGAAGTAGTGGCTGCCGGCCAGGCAAAGCGTCGAGCAGTTGGTCGGCGCTGATCCCGCAGCCACCACCCATGCCAACTGCCCACCACCTGTGGCGCCTACAGCATCGGCGCGGAGCGCGCACTCGACGGGGCCGATGTGGAAGGACTCGATGGCGTAGATGGCGTCAGTGCGCACGGGCTCGTCGGCGTTGCGTGGATCGACGCCGAAGGCGATGAAGATGTCGACGCGGGCGCCCATGCACGAGAAGCAGAGCATGCCCTCCATCTCGCCGAGCTCCCAGTAGGCCCACCGCATCATCTCAACGGGCGCGGGGATGAGGTCGACACAGCATGAGGCTGGCTCGTAGCAGAGGAACGGCACCATGGTGGTGCGCCAGAACGCGCAGCCGAGGGCGCCGACCTCGGAGCCGAGCTCGATAGCCTCGACGTCGGCGACATCGGTGCCCAGGGTCCACGCCCACGCCCTGGACGAGGACTCGAAGGCGCAGATGCCAATTCCGATGGCAAACGTGACTGCGTCGTGGTAGCGGTGGTGAATCCCCTTGTACTCGAGGGCGTAGTTGGCGACGTAGCAAGCACCGTGGAGGCAGATGAGGTGCGCGGGCGCGTTCCCGGGGACGGGGTCCGAGACGTCGATGCAGAAGACGTGGAAACTCGCCTCTCCCCTGGTGGCGAAGACGACGCCGGCGAGGATGAGCGCCCTGAGGTCGCCCAGTCCTTCAGCGACCACGGGGACCCGCGAGGCCGGGGCATGCGCGCGCTGTAACGCCGTCGCGGATGCAGGGGAAGGAACGGCCGCGGGCGTGGCACCGGTGCGCAGCCCGAACGCGTCCCCGGCGAAGTTGCAGCTGTGGCTGACCATGGAGTAGCAGTACTCGCGGAATCCCATGCCCTGGGGCTCCAACGAGTCGATCTCGGCGTTGGTCAGGTTGCTGGGCCGCGGTGTGGTGCTGGAGAACCCCATGGAGCGCGGGGAGTAGATGTCCGAGCGTGACGTGGCATGGGCGGAGATGTTGGCATCGAGCCGCCCCAAAACGTGGCCCGAAATCCTGGAGTCGTCGGGCGTTAGGTACGAGGATGAGGGCGGCGCGGAGAAGAGGGCGACGTCGACCACCTCCAGCGGCAGGACGTGCACTGCGTCCTTGACGACCATGGATGGGAAGGCTCTGTCGTCGCAGAGCTCGGTGGAGGGGACAGCGGCGGCGATGTAGACGTGCAGGATGGCGCCGAGGTCGGCCCAGGACGGGCGCGGAGGCCTGGGAAGCAGATCGGAGCTCTCGACCTCGGACGCCTCATACGGACACGAGCTGGGGAACGGCACAATCGACAGCGCCCGCTCCATGGCATCGGTAGGGGCCGAGTTGACCACGGCGGAGGCGGAGCAGGAGGAGATGCAGACTTGCCGGGGCACCTCGCGAGGTTGCGGCGCCCACGCGCGGGCTCGAAGGCACGGACGACGGTCTCGAACCAGGAGACGTGGAGGCCGTCTACGACGACGCGGACTTCGACCGCAGCGCCAGAAGGTAGGGGCGCGGTCGGATCCAGCGCAGCGGGCGAGGATAGCTTGGCGATGAGGTAGGCGGCGAAGACGGACGACGGGGAAGCGCCGCCAGGACGTTGGTGGATGCGCTGGTCGACTGCTCCCGACGACCAAATCCTGTGGTAGAGGCGGAGCGCGTCGGGGGGTCGTCGGAGGCGATTTTGTGGAGGACGGCCTCACGAGGAACTTGTCGACGGAGTGGATATGCGACCCGTTAATCCCCAGCGACTCGAGCTCCTGGAGGGCGTCGACTGCGGGGAAAACGCAGGCCGCCTCGAGCGCGATGGAGACGAACTGCTCGGACGCGGGGCGGGGCAACTCGGAGGCAGCCTCGGGCGCAGGCGTGAAGAAGGGAAGGGCGTCGGAGCCAGAGTAGGTGGTGTCGGGAGCGGGGATCTCGTCGAAGAGGCTGCCCCAGTTGTCGGCCTCGACGAGCTGCGTCGCGGCCGCTTGCCCGAGGCCGCCGACGCGAAGCTCGACGGTGGCGCTTCGCTGCTCCAGCGTGGCCATGGTCCGCGAGAAGCGCTGCTCCATCAGAGCGTCCAACTCATCCAGCCTCCTGAGGATCTCGTCGCAGGCAAACTTGAGGGAGGGATCCATGGAGCAGTACCAAAATCGATGGCTCTGATACAAGTGTCGACGACGCTCGCTGCGGCGGCGCTGGGGAACTCAGAAAAAGGAAAACGAGGTCCGCCGATCAGGCTGGCGATCGATAGCGTGATTAGGTTTAGTCTTTTTACAGAGTTGTTGTTGGTTGATCCCCTTGGCTTGTCCTCATCTGTCCTTATGTAGCTGGTTCCCTCCACTGGTGACAGCCTGGCATGGCCCACCTGGCAGGCAGTACCTGACAAGCCTGTCTTTTTGCTTCGATGAATCGAACAAAAGTGTGGTACAGCACTTAGAGTGAGTAAGTGATAATGATAATCGCTAATAGCATAACAAACTCAGGCTCGGGGCACCTAAAAGCCAACCACCGCGAGCGAGCCATTGAGCAGCCGTGTGGCCACCGAATAAGCCCAGCTCCTGTCGCTGTTATTCTAATGGCGATCGACATCAAGGCAAGAAGATCGTAACGACAAGCGTCGGCGACAGCGGCATCAAGTCCTGCTGGCTAGCGCGGATTCTGAGTTAAATTCCAAAGGCATCTGAAGTACCGTTCGGCTTATCCCATATCCGTCCGGCTTGTTCGGCTTCTTTTTTCAGTCGAAATAGTGTTTTTCTCTCACAACATTTCAGCTAGAACGGTGTTTTTCAGCCAAGATTCAGCAAGTCGAACGGAGCCGTCATCAATAATTAAAGAGCGTAAGAACAAAATGATGGGGCCATGCATGTAATGGATCCAACAATCCAAGTGTAAAACCTTTGGAAAATCTCGCAATGATTTATACGCGTCACTACAGGGGCTGTGTGACCGAGCCATTGATTAGCAGCAGATTTGGTTAAGCAACGAACAGGAATGTGACAGCTCGTTAGGTCACCAAAATGCGTGCAGGTAAGCTTACTCCCGGGACCAAAGGAATATCACAGGCCCGGGTTAGGAAGGAGTACGGCCGGGCGTCCTCGATCGCATTCGGCGCACCAGTAGCAGCAGACCTACTATCTCCAAAGGAGTCCGAAGACTGAAGTCCAGTGCAGGAAACTAGTCGTCAGTCTTCCATGACGCAGCGTGGATTTGGTGAGGTAGTAGTAGTACTAGTACGTAGGCGTAGCAGCTGCCAGTGATCCCACTTACTTTGTCGTCAAAACTCAACATGTGAAAGAGTAAATGGCACAGGCAAACAAAGAAGAGTACCAAGTCTAGTAGTCTACTCCAAGGCATCAGATACTTGGGGTAGAGGCTGGGGCACCCTTGCTTGGCTCCTAAGCTTGTGGAACAGTCACGGATGCAAGCCTCGCGTTCCAAGGCTGGTCCTGCAGAACCAATCGGGCTCACACAATTTCGGGGAATAAAGCTATAGTAGTACCAAGCTAAGCTAAGCACAATGATCAGTAAAGAATCGAGGCTTGGAGTTGGAGGGCGAAACTGAAACCCAGATGGAAAGGAAGCTAACGTGCATCCCTCGATAACAGAACACAAGAGGGCAGAGGCGGCAGATCCAACCAAAACCAAGCACAGGCGTCCTTGCGTCCAAGTTCTTTGCCTGCACTGCAGCACCAGCAAGGCGAAAAGCAATGCTCATGGACTGGACAGAAAGGCAAAAGTCACAAGGGAGGCATCAGCCGGGAAGCATGATTTGTTAAGGGCACTCCCAACCCAGACTTTACCCATAGAATCCTAACGTCTAAGACTCTATCACAAGAAACCATGATCTCTAATGTAGGACTTGTAATAGTAGTTTCTATAGATAAAAACATTTATTACTCAACACAAAGAAAGGTGATCAGTTGTGGCATAAACTGTGTGACCCACATACACCTCTCAACAATATCACCATCCGCATACATGATATATATCATCAGAAGCAATATGTGAATGAACCCAACCCATACAATATATCAATTAGCCGGCAAAGATACTCTACACAGAACTTCAATGAAAGTTTACATAAGCTAGCCACGAGTCATCCATTACAATAGCAATAAGGATAGAAATATAGCATGCACCATGACTGAGACTGACGTCCATTACAATAAGAACAGAAATATAGATAGAAAAACCAAAATAATTAGATAATATATTTAGATAATCTCCAGCCGTGGCTTCAGAAGTCTTCCTGCCTACAGAAAACAATCCACCATCCTCCAGATAGAAGCCATCAACACTTTTATGCCCTGATCATCAACATGTAAAATAAGATGAGATAGTAAATAAACAACTACGTTATAAGAAAAAGAGAGATGGACAGAACTATTGTGACATAGTCATATGAAAGTATTCATGTAACAGGGTAGTATATAATATATAAATTTAATATTTTTACCTAATTAATTCGATTCCTGAACTTTTGCCAGATGTGATCAATCAAATCAGATTGTAGTTGCCTATGAGCTTCACGGTCACGAATCTCGGTATCTCTCTGTAGTACCTCCTCCATCGCCGGATCATGTCCTTGAGTGATTGTAGACGGCTGAACAGTAGACATGGTTGCTTCCTCGATCAAGTCAAACGAATTGTCCTCTATATCCTTCTCGTCCTCGATTATCATGTTGTGAAGAATTATACAAGCTAATATGATATTCTCAAGATCCCCTTGTTCATATAGACGTGCTGGCCGACGCAAAATGCAAAAACGAGATTGTAAAATCCCAAATGCACATTCAACATCTTTTCTTGCCCCCTCTTGATGTTCTGAAAACAGTTTGTGCTCAGCTGATTGTGGTGCACGTATGGACTTGACAAAAACAGCCCACTCTGGGTATATTCCATCTGCAAGATAATAAGGTTTGCTATATTGCCTTCCATTCACAAAGTACTACACCTGGGGAGCTTCTCCTCTTAACTGATCGACGAACAAAGTAGATTAATTCAGCACATTAATGTCATTGTTGGACCCCGCCACTCCAAAGAAAAGCATGCCATATCTATCTGTCATGTGAAGCAACAGCCTCTAGAATGATTGTTGGCACACCTTGATCACCACGGGTATACTGTCCCTTCCATGCATACGGACATTTTTCCCAATGCCAATGCATACAATCAATGCTCCCTATCATGCCAGGAAAACCACGACGCTCACCGATCTCCAACAATCGTTCCACATCTTGTATTGTGGGGCGTCTCAAGTACTCTTCACCGTATAATTCAATGACTCCCTGAACAAACTTTTTCAAGCACTCCACACCAGTACTTTCTACTATCTTCAAGTACTCATCTAGCTGGTCTGCAGAACCGCCATATGCTAATTGACGGATCGCTACTGTACACTTATGAACTGGTGAAAACCCGAGATGATTCAGAGCATCCAATCTTACGGTGAAATAATCAGACCACCCACTCAAAGCCTCAACAATATTAAGAAAGAGGGGTCTCCTCATCCTAAATCTTTTACGAAATTGTGTCTCATTGTAGACTGGATTAGGAGAGAAATAGTCATCCATTAGTTGCTTGCTGGCTTATTCACGAGACCTGTCCACATATCGCCTAGGACCACACCTACTTCTTCCACCTTGTATGACATCAGCAACTGACTGCATCTCAGCTACTATATGATCGCCTAAATCATCTAGAATTTCTTGCTCTTGAAGATAATCATCCATAGAGTACAGATCAGCAGGGCCCATGCTGTCATCTCCATCCATGGCAGTAAAGGATAGCAGCGGGTAGCAGAGAAGAAAGGGAAGCAGTAGCAGCATGTAGCATATAAGAAAGGGAAGCAATGACTACAAGGTACCGTGGCTGTGTTATATATAGTCACAATTGTCGTGGCTATATGTTTTCCCACTTGCATGCTATTTCAGTTCACACTTGAATGCATTACAGTTTCACGCTAGTGGGTGTTCACAGGAATTAAAATAGCACTGATCATAGGAAATAAAAGGATTTTAGTTACCTTGCATAAATCAATTCCATGGAAATTAGAAAACCATTAGTTACCATTCAGCTACTGCATAATCAATTCTACAAAATTACAAATCCATCAGTTAACACTTCGAAGCAATTAATATATATGCAAATTAAACAAGGGTTGACTGCAGTCATACCTTAGGAAATAAAGCAAGTCTCAGGCTCTCCAATGTCTTGTTTCTCTCAGCCAAAGCTTCTGCATTAAGCTGATCAGTAGGCGCAAGCAACAGCTGTGTGTAAGTTTCTAGCATTTTGCACTTAGTTTGTTCATGAGCTGCTTCATGGTTAAGCCTAGTTGCTTCGATCTTCTTATCAGCCAAGCTTTACTGAATTTCAGTCATCTTCTCTCTGTCTTCCCTATTCTTCATGCTTGCTTCAATGAACTTCTCAACTTTTCTACTAAAATCAGCTAAAGCATCAGATGACTTCTTTTTTTCATTGAGTTCTTTTTTTGCTTTCTTATGTCCTATAGGTCGCTTTTCTCCATCTAATTCCAAATCCACCATTTGAGCTGGACCAGCCTTTGCACTCTTTTCCTTTTCCTTCTTCAACCTAGCAAGATATGCTGACCACTTCTGCTGTCCACGTACTACCTTCCACATATGCAGCAGATGGAAGGCCTTACCATTATTTTGGTCGGACCACATCTCTAGTGTTTTGTTAGTCAACTGGTCATCACTCATCCCACTTTCCCACACTCTACTGGCATTTACCCAACATCCATGAAAATCAATTAATGGTTTCTTAGAACGATCCCAACGTATTTTCAGTTGGTTCCGGTTCCTCTTACGACTATTTTCTGTGGTCTTGTTGTATTCTTTAGTAACATCTGTCCAATAAGCATCTGACTTCTTGTCATTTCCATCTACTGGATCCTTTGAATTACGCAACCAAGCACTGGCCTAAACAACAAAAAGAACAGAATGAAAAAAGACAATAGTTAATCTTCAAGTGTGCATGGAGATAGCATGCTTTCAACCTACCAGTCGTATGTCTTCACGGACCGACCAATTCAAACGGTTGGCTGTTCTAGAAGTCTCATCAATGTTAATTGTTTCATCTTCTTCTGCATCTATATCATCCACTATGTCAACAGTTTGATGTGCTGGAGAGGGAGTTCTTGTAGCACCCATGTCAATTGGTGAAACTGAAGATTGACTCAATCCAGCACCAACAAAGTGAAATTTTTTATTTCCATTTGGATGGTTAGCAAATGGGTTTGACTGCAGAAAATTTGAGAACCCTCCTGGTGGATATAACCTGCAACCATATGAATTTCCATACACCAGAATTTAGAAACACATAATCAGCAACAAAAGCACCTTCGTTAGGAGATTTAGTCAGAGTTTATTTACCCTTCTCTAGGAGATGACATTGGCCACCATCCACCAACGGGTGAAGCACCTGTTCGAGGAAGACCAGCATCTTGAGGAACGCCGGTGGCTCCAGCTTGAGCATGGGCTGCTGCAGCACCGGCGACTGGAGCATAGATCCCAGCACCATGGACGGATGGAGGAAGGGTTTTAGGGACGCCTCTGCCTCGCCGAGAATCAGTCTTTGTTAATCGATTCATCTGTGAGATTTGGGGATCTTCTTGGGTCACAGTGTATGGGGGAGGAGATGGAATCGAAGGGAGCTATGGATGGACCTGGATATGAACCGATGGGAGATGGGCGGAAGAGGGAGGGAGATTACCCGGGGGGGATTGGAGGGGGCAGGGCCTGAAATTGGCGCGCATCCTCGAAACTTTGGCGACGACGGCGGCTTCAACTCCACGAGCATGCGCGGGAGGTCGAGAAAACGCGGGAGATCGATGGCGGGCTCGGGCGAGCACGCGCACAGGAGGAGGAGCGCGGGAGAGGGAGGAGTTGCGGCGGCGGCGCATGGATGGCGTACGGGATCCATCGACTCTACGCTGCCCTCCACAACGCGAGGCATGGTGGTTTCTTGCGGCCTCGGGAGTATCGAAGACCCAGCGTCCAAATAAGACTTGGTTTCCTTCTCTTTCTTCATTAAATTGCCTTCCACGTCATCAAAATGCTGATGTGGCACCATAATAAATAAGGATGGACTCTATCATAGAGTCTGGGTTGGAAGTGCCCTAAGTCATTTGGACAAAAGCTGCCTGTGTTTTGTAGCAGTAGGCAGTAGCTCTATCTCACTCTGTGGCGGCCTCCGGTGTCTCTACTCTCTAAGCCTGCGGACTTTTCTCCTACTGCCGTGAACATAAGCCCATTTCCTTCTAGACCTAGCCCATACATAGTACAGCCGAGCAAACGTTACCTCAAACACACCACGTAGAGGAATTGGGCTGGAGTCTTGCTGCGATACAAAGCAGATATGGACTTAAGCCAGTTTCAAAAAAGATATGGACTAAGCCAGAGTGGGTGTCAGATTTGATTTTCAAAAAAAAAAAAGTGATTTTTTATTCCTTAATAGGGATAGTATTGTTGATGCCAGATTGATCTCAAATCACACATCAGCTAGGGCTAGACTGCCCGGTCCGCCACAGACCAAAGAATGCAGCGAGGATGTCACGCTTCCGTGGTGAACGAAGATGTTTATGAGCAAACCACCAAAGGATAACTAACGTGCTTGCGTGACGCAAAGGAACCGTCGAAGCTCTCGCTCGGGAGGACCCTGTGGGGGCAAGGACGTACGCCATCCTTGATCGTCGTATTATGCGATGAACAGCAGCATGGGGTTGAAAGAGGACATGAAGGAGTTGTAGATGTAAAAAGACGATTGAATTGTTGGATGTCTTAACCGGCCATGTACCTTTTAATTTATAAGGAGTAGGGCGATCTTATCATGTTGGAAAACTAATGTGGTACTATTCTTATGTCGATTCTTATGTTGCTTTATTGAGTTTTGGTCAAGGAGTTGTAGATGTAAAAAGACGATTGGATTTGTTGGGTGTCTCAACTGGTCATGTACCCCTTATTTTATAAGGAGTAGGGTGGTCTTATCTTGTTCAAAAACCAATGTGATACTATTATTACGTCGCTTTATGGAGTTTTGGCCAAACTATCGTGGGCCAATTCTGAAATTGACTTGGGCCTAATTTGGTCGTCAACAAGTATGTTACTTTTTTAGATAATGCAAATTGTTCCGGTTTAAACCTTGAATTTTTTTTTCAGAATCTAATCACGACATTGTTTCAGTGCTAGATGACAATACCCATCAATAATAAGCTGTTTGTCGTAATTTTAAAGCTTCCAGCTTAGTCTTTCTGAAGTTTCATTAGGACACTATCTGTGCAGTGCGGGTGTATTTGTAGTGGTGATTAGGTTCCTGAGATAATGACTAGCAAACCGGTTGATGACGATGATAACTAGCAAGATAAGACGCGCTATTTAACAGTTACCAGAACTAGAAATGTTTGTCAGTACTCGGTCAGAATCAGGTCATGACTCATGAGCAACCCAAACCTATAGTAGCTATTGACTAGCGGACGATCACCAAATAAAACTTGTTGCAGCTAGAGTATACACCAAATCTAATCTAATTATCTAAAGCACAACGTGGAGCTCTTCGTCAAGGAACATGTAACGTTCCGACCTGTGTTTCACCATGTGGAGCTTCCCGTCGCAGCTGAGCACCTCCACGCCAGCAAACACGATGCAGTCGTCCCAGAGCTCAAATCGGTGGATGTTTGGACTACTTCGGTCGAAGAACCTAGCAATGCAGAACTTGCCAGAACCGAGGTGCACGGCGTGGGACGTTAGCAGACGCCACCCCTTGTGCGAACCTGCCACGTCGTCGTCGAAAACTTCGTGCAGCACCGGCGGACGGCAATGCTCCTGCGAGAAGGAGGCCGCGGCGAGGTCCGACGCGCAGAGCACGCTGCCCTGGTCCCTGGACGAGATGCTAAACCATAGCTTTTGGAGCTCCGGAACGTACTCCGCGACGCCGCAGAACGGCAGCGACCAATCCGCGGGGTTGCTCCAGACGCGCTTCCGCGTGTCGAACGAGTAGGTGCAGGCGCCGTCGGCGGCGGCGCCACCGCCCATGGCGGATACCCAGATATGGGTGCCGCGCCGGCGGCCGCCTTGAACTGCCGCCAGGGATGTGACGCAGGTGCGGTCTCTGTCACCGTCGTTCCTGGCGAAACGGGGCGGCGGCATTGGCGGGAGAGTGCGCCACTCCCACCCGTGCTCATGCGGGATCAGTGGGCGGTAGACGAGTGCCTCGAAGCTCCGGCAGCTGTTGCCATTATTGAAGCTGGTCTGCCTGTCGAGGATGTAGAGGTTGTTGCCGACGGCGATGGAGATGGGGAGATATTTGTGCTTGGCGAACGACAAGGGCAAGTGGTGGAACGCGGGCATGTCGGGGTCGTACATCACGGCGTGGCCGTTCTCGTTCGTGGCCACCACCTTGTTCTTCAGGAGCATGAAGTCCATCTTGTCGTGGGAGTCGACGCGCTGGGGAGGGTCGAAGTTCATGGTGGCATCAGGCAGGCGACAGTCCTCCACTGGTGGCGGGTCCAGGCCAAGCAGTGACCTCCCACTCCCGTCCTTGGTGGGGAGGAAAAAACGGGACATGTCGATGCGGCGCAGCGTGTAGTTGTTTTTGGCGCAGTCGCTCGCCACCAGGTTCACAAACCTCCGGAAACTCATCTTCCTGCACCCAAATGAATTAGAGGTAAAATTAATCAGGCAGGGAAGAGAACGTCCCTAGTCCCTCGGAAATCTTCCGGTCTGAACGTTCGGACCGGAGCAGCACGCCGATGATTCTGCAGCGACTTCCCGCGCGTTGGCGAGTATACGGGCAGAATCGGCCTAGCGACCGAGTCAACGGCCCACGTAGCGCACGAAGCCATCCACTGCACGAATCGAAGCGCAGCCAACCACTCACGGAAGGCTGGTAGTTAGCTTCTCTTTCTTTCTTTTTTCATTTTTATTATATTTCTCCTCTACTTAACTCCAGGTAGGCGGTTACGTTAGCTTCTCTTTTAGTTTTCTTTCTTACTATATTCTTGTTTCTTTTATTTTCCTTTTTTATTTCCTTTTTTTTCGTGCTTCATGTATTTTTTTATTTATTTTTTATGTGATTTTTTATTGTTCTTTTCATTTTTTACATTTTTATCTTTCTTTAATTTCTTTTTCTTTTTGTTTCCTTTTTATTTTGTTTCCTTTTGTTTCCTTATTATTTTTTTCTTTCCTTGCTTCAATTTATTTTTTATTTTCATTTCATGTGATTTTTCATTATTCTTTTCTTGTCCTTTCTTTTCTTCATTTTTATTCTTTTTTACGTGCTTCAATTTTTTGTTTTTGTTTTTTGAATTTTTATTATTCTTTCATTTTTTTATATTTGTTTTTTATTTCTTTTTAATTTTTACTGTAATCAATTTTTTTATTTGTTTTATTTTTTTGTTTTTATGTTTTATTTTTTTGTTTATTTTTTTGTTAGTTTTTCTATATAGAACGTCTGATTTTGTACATATGTTGTTCTATAATGTACTCTATTATGTTACTTAGTATACATGTGATGTTATATGATATATTTTGCGATGTTCATGTGATATACCTGTGACGTTCTATAATGTAAGTTGGTATCTTTTGGGGCTGTTCAAGTAGTGTACATATGATGTTCTATGATGTATTATGTGATGTTTATATTGTATACATATGATGTTCTATGATATGTTTTGTAATGTTCACGTAGTATATATTTGGTGTTCTACGATGTATTTCATGATATTCATGTAGTATACATATGATGTTCTTTGTTGTATTTTGTACGTTCACTAGTATGTATTTCATGTTCTATTTATGTGTTTGTGAGGTCATACTATATATATGTGATGTTCATATAGTATATATGTGATGTTCACATAGTATATTTATGATATTCTATGATATATTTTTGTAATGTTCACGTAATGTACTTGTGATGTTCTATTTTATTTCCCTTTTGCTTTGCTCTAAATTTTATTATTTTTATTTATGTTATGATATTTATTTATTTATTTATTAATTGTTTCTATATATTTATAGTTTTGTTATTATTTTTTTATTTTCATGGATATTGTAATACTAATTGAATGAACCTATAACTAGAATATTATTCTTCTATAGAGAACATTTTTTTATAAAAACGAAACATAGTTTTATGAACTTAGAACATTGCTTCTACTAAAAAAATGTTCTATCTTTAAAAGATAACGATTATCTTTGAGTTCCCATAAGATGTTCTATGATATATTTTAGATTGTTTAAATGTGATGATCTTTTTAACTTACCTCTATAACGTGGATTTTTTCCTTATGATTTATTTAGGGTTTGTTATGTTATTTTTTCCATGTGATGCTTTATCCGGGTTACATCACGACCAAAGTTATGGTATTTTATTTTGTTTCCTTCTTTATTTACTCTAAAATTTATTATTTATATGTATGTTATGGTATTTATTAATTTATTTACTGTTTCTATATATTTATAGTTTTTGTTATTACTTTTTTTATAGATATTATAGTATCATGAACATATAACTAGAATATTGTTCTTTTAAATCGAGAATATTTTTCTTAGGAAGGTGGAACATTGTTTTTTTAACTTAGAACATTGCTTCTACTCAATAAAATATGTTCTATCTTCACAAGATAAATGTTCATTATAAAATTTTATCTAAATATATTCATGTGAGATCTTATTTTGAAGGATTTATTACAAAAAACATGATGGTGTAATCGTAATTTAATTTAGATATTTAGTTTAGTAGTTATGAATTTTTTAAAAGTTAGCAAATGCTTACGTACGCTTATTCTTTTTAAGCAGCATACATGCATGTGGAGGAGCAGCTGTAACACCCTTAGTGTTATGAGCTTGTTTAGCACCGCGATTTAGGCCTAAGCAAAATTACCGAACCGATTTTCTCGGATTTTAAAATTTAAAAACCAGTTTTTCGCGTCAACGGTAAAAATCGGAATTTACATAACACCTAATATTTTGTTCTATGGCTGGGTATGGAGTAGGAGCTGTCGCGTAAAATATTTAGGGATGGTGGTCAATAGGATTTAAATCTTTTGGAGTGCCGACGACGTATCGTTGTTCACATTTGCGTCGCACCGTCGTCGAGTCTCGTCGTCGTGCCGCTGCTCCCTCTCCCTCGCTTGCGTCGCGTCTGATATTTTTATGTGAGCGCCACCGTTCGATTGCCCGATTCATCGCGTCGTCTCTGCTGCAATAAAGGCCACGGTCTTGTCCGTGCCAACCGGCACACCCTGTCGGCCACGTTGGGCCAGGCCGTTTTGCCGTCGTGTTTAAGAAGTAACCGAGCCCGCACGCGTCTCCTTGCTTGTTCGTCTTGAGCTAGTCTGTCTCTGCTTGTCCTTGCTGCCTGCCATTGCTGTTTGTCTCTATGCCAAGGTCAAGTTGTTGCTGCTGTCTCTGTGTCGAGCACCCGACGTGTCCGCAGTGCCAGCGTGTGTACTATGTGTACCACCCTCGTGATGAGGTCCCCTTCTTTTTCTATTTCTACTGCCGTGTCCGTCGATCACTCCTTGCTTCCGTCGCCTCCCTCTGCTTGCCCACGCCGTTCTCCTTTTTCCTCCCACGCGCGCGAGCATCCACGGCACCGTCCTAGCGTGCCTCACGCTGGTCCACAGCTTCCCCCGCGCTGCCTCTCCGCGCGCGATTTCGCCTCCGCTCTCCCCTCTGGCTGCTGCTCGCCGTGGCCACACCGACCGACACCGTTCGTGGTCTGGCCCCTCGCGAGCACGTGCGCGTCACAGCTCTAGTCCGCTGTCGCTGGTCTTTTCCCCCGTCGCGCACGCGAACTCCATGGCGCTCGCGCGTGTCTTCATCCTGCTCCCCGCGCCACCGCCTAGGACCGTGCCGAGCTCAGCACCACCTCCCTGCCCGGCTATCGCGCGTACTCCGGCCGTTGTGCAGCTGTCGCCTCGCCTTCACGTTAAGGACGCCATGGACGCCACAGCCACGCTATAACACCTCGGTGTTAAGCATGCATTAGCATTTTGCAAATCATGAACATAATCATTAATTTGCATGCATACGCATGACATGAAATATAGAATGGAAGCATACTATTGAAACATGTATGTTGCATAGTTTTGTTTTGATAGATTGGATGCTATGTTTGTTTTGCCATGTGTGTACCTTGGTTGATCACTTAGACCAATTAGAAGTAGCTAAGATGCAATTTGGAGCAAGGTGTTTATTCAAAGTTTTCTCAAATTTTGCTTTTAAAAATAACCATCTGAAATCGGGTTTTTGATTTAAATTAACTTTCAATCTATAGTTCAAAATCTAATTGGATTTTGGCCTTACTCTTTTTGGCAAAGTTGTAGAGTACTTTTTCCTGAACAACTTTCATTTTTACACCAACTTGTGAAAATGCTTTTAAAATGGCTCAAAATCGAATTTTAGTTCTGTTTATTAAGAAATAAAAAGAAAAATCCTTTTATTTTCCTTAGCGGGCCGCCGCTTCCTTTTTGGCCCGCGCCTGGCAGCCGGCCCGCCTCTCTCTCTGCTCGCCATCTCGCTCACTGGCCACAAGCCAAGCCATGCCCCAGCCAGAGAGCTTCGGCTCGGCAGCAGCGTGTCCAGTCTGTCGTCGTGTCGTCGCTCCACCAGCGTGGACACCGATGGTCCCCAAGGCCCCTCTGTCAAGCGCCTACACCCACCAGGCGCGGCCTCCCTCCCTCTCCTCCATCTCTTTTGCTTCTCACTCGGACAGCAGCAGCAGCAGCGCACGCGCTCGCCTCCAGCACCGCCCGCACCAGTGCCTCAACGGAGTTGGCCGTTTCGGCCGCTCTAGCTCGCCGTCGACTACCCCATCTCGCCCCCTGCTCCGCCTCCACCTCGCGCACCCCATGCTCGCCTCGGTAAGCCTTGGGGAGCTCCCCTTCCTCGCCAATCGCTCATCGGAGTGAGCTCCTCCTCGCCAGAATGCTGCGCTCCCTAGGCCTCGCCTCTCCGCCTCACCTCTCCTCTCTCTTTCACACAAGACCAAAGACAAGCTAAGCGCGATAGAGCTCGCCAGCCACTCCCCGCGTCACCTCTCAGCCGGAGCTGGCCGGCCGACGTTGAGCCATGCCACCGCGCCGCCATGGACATCAGTGAGCTTGCTCCCGAGCTCCAGCCCACCATGGGGGTACCGTTAGGTCCGTCTTGTCTCGGAGAAGCCTCCGGTGGTGACCTCACCGCACCAAGAAGTTCACTGCACAAGCCGAGAACTGCCCATGCGGCCACGAGCACCTCCTCTTGCTTTAGTGACTGACCCGGTGGGGCTAGGGGACCCACCGTCCACTGGGGTGCAAGCTTCGGTAGAGATCCGGGTGGATCTAGCAATTTCGAACATGGATTTTTAGAATGAAATTAAGAAATGATTTACAGGTTTTGTTTAAAGGCTTTGGAAATTTATAACTTGCTCAAAATGGCTCCAAATTTGTTGAAATAAGTTGTGCTAGGTTTCTTGTGACTAGATCTATCTGCTAAAAATATTGCATGTCAAATTTGTGATACTTTTCCGTGTAGTTTTATTTAAATTGGATAAATGCTGATTTCTTAGAAAATGTCTAGTAAATAGAATATACATCAGAAAAATGTGGTTCTAGTTTTGTTAATCTCCTTTAGTGATGTACTTTGTAGAAAAA